AAAAAAAGTGGCATGAAGCCACAGAGCAAGAAGATAGGAATCGAAAGGCTTCTTAAATTAATCTGGGTTGGCTTAGTTATTGGTAACCGAAATACCGGGTAACCCATAATTTATCATGCATGCTAAGACAAAAAAAAGGAATTAGCGATTTAAAGTTTTGATTGCAGCTTGGAAACGAGACACAAACAAACTCATACCTACATAGGCCTACTATCCGTTCATCAAATACTTGCAGTTTCGGTCCATAGGTTTCAAATGGTATAGATCTTTGAACAACGGGCGTTATACCTAAGTTAATTGATAAAAAAAAGTTCCGATAGCAATAGCTATCCTGCCAGAGATGATGTTAGGAAGAGTATGACGGTGTCAAGCTTACTTGACCATTGGATCGAAGTTTAGGATAAATTTGAGGATCTCGATTTTCTGAGTGTCAGGCAGGTTCTTGGCAAACTCTGCGATCGTATTAATGACAGCCTCTTGGAATTGACTTTCGCCGGCTGTGGCCTGCAGGTTGGTCGGAAATCCAATTAGTTCACCTTCTCTTGACCTTCCAGCGATATGTTGGGCTTCTCCACCATTTGTCATGGCGCTTGGGGCTCCAGTGACTCGATGGTGATGCTGCTGAAGGCCACGAGAGACTGCTCCCGCTACGGCTGCGGCCTCCTCGGCTCGGCTTGTTTTGTCTATACTAGCACGAAGTATCTACGAGGGGAAGAGGCGCAAAAGATAAATTGAGTGATTTCAAGGATCACCTAATGGGATGAGTATCTCTTGTGAAAATATTTAAGCAACCCTGTGCTGACCTCAACCGACAGTGCCGCACCAAGATAGCCCCGTACAAAAAATCCTCCAACATTGACAAGTGATGTGCCGGTGTCAGACACTCAGTACCCAAATACACTAGGTCAAAGTATCTGCTGCTTCCACCTCAAAATGCCAATTAATGATAGAGCAATGGGAACTAAAAAAATGCTCTGGAGTCCGCCAGTGAGATAAGAATGAGTATAAATTTCACCTTGTTAAAACTCTTTTTATCAAATGGCTTGCTTGCCTAGCTTGTTTATATTAATAAAGCCGAAAATAAGCTTAAATAAGAATAAGTCTGGTTATTGAGTGAAGAATCAAGTGAAAATTAAATTGAGCACGATAAAGCAAGTAAATATGTTATTCAATAATATTTGGCATATACATACACGCTAAAAGAGAGCTAAGACAACCGAGAGATTTATAAAAAGTTCAGACATTGTCCTAAAAATTGGGAATAAATATGGAAGGTTACAATGATTGGGGCTTTGTGAATGAATTTGCCATGAAGAGTTGATGAGAGACCGCATACCATATTAAAACAGAAAATCACCTTTCACTGAATCAAAACTGATAATTCATGGGTATATTTGGATTTATCAAATACCGTCTAATTACCAAGGCACTTCAAATAGATAGGCTTAGATCACAGATCTGATGATGATGATACATGTTTATCTTATTAAATTAATAACAGTAAATTTGACTGTGCATATCAAACCGTGATGTATCCAGCGATTTTGAGGTTATTTTTGTGATCTAACCCGTAGAATTACAAACACTGCATGCATTGCGTCTGGATTGGTTTTCAGGCTTATAAATGAACTCAGAAAGGCGAAGCACTCGAACTTGGATTCAGATTCAAAGGGCCACAGCATTAACGCATTTCAGGCCCCAATGATTAACGCTCAAACTACTATAACTTTGGTTAAATAGTTTGATGTGACAACCTGCATTGTAGCAAAAAAGTGAGAAAATCAAGGCATTGGGCAAGCCGTCTAGGAGATATGTGACTAAAGAATATTTTTATTTTTCCATGAAAAAATATGATTCGGGAAGCTTGGTGTCAATATATCACAAAAGGTATTGGAATTCAAAATATTAATAAAAAATGTAGTGATTGAAAAAGCCCATAAACCATCTAAGAGATTTAATCGCGCCTATGTCAAAAGCATCGAATGCTTGTGATATAGAGATTTCGACACAATCACTGTGTGCATAATCGATGTACTGTATCTTGTAACAAATACAAGAAAAGGGGATATAATAATTTCTGCTAGATTCGCTCAACTTGTAAAACTCGACGGGCTATTAAAATAAGGATGAATCTCGAGTTGAAAAATGGCTTTAGAACCGATGTATCGAAGAAAATATGCGATTGCTCTTCAAAAATTGATTTATCTAATACAAGTCGGTATGGAATCAAACCTATGACAATTGGAGACATCTTTATCTGTAACATTCTCTCATTAAACTAATGAGGGAAGATTGAAGGAAACCTCCGTGAAAAGCAAAGCTAATATCAGTGGCGAGCTTTCAAGTCTGCTTTCAAGCTGGCCGAACAAATACGGTCACATTCTCCAATGCCCGGGTATCTTTTCAGTAAATGCCCCATCATAAATAAAGTTTAAAAAAGCCTTTTTGTAGATCACAGGTTTATACAACTTAGAAGAGGCACTCGAAAGCAATGATTGTCTATTTAAATATGTGGTATAACTAGCCCTGGTAATGGGAAAAATGAGTAACTGAGGCTAAGTTACCTATGCTTGGGAATTGCCTTTACC